GATGACTGGGTCTGCAGCTGCGGTGGCGTGCCATTTCTTCAGTTGAAAGTGTAAGTAAGTGGAACTTGGGTAGTAATATCCGGTTGCCGGTTGGGGTACCGCGCGCGCTGCCGCAGCCCGTCTCACCATAGCCAAGCGCGCTACTTGTCTACGCCCTCTCAGATCTAGTTGTTTCTGCATTTGTCTGCGTTTCGCTGCGAGACTGTGGTATCGAGGAATGTGCTGCACATTGAGGATATCGCTGCGGAGTCAGAAAGGCACTTCGGTGGCCCTACCCATCAGCCTCCTTTCTGTGCAAAAGTGTTACCCTTTCTACAGCTGCCAACCCTTCTTTTCGCTGACCACAAGGACAGGACTTGAAGGAGAGTGTACAGTCTGCATTCAGGGGAACCTCTATAGCTTGGCGAGTTTTCGAATGGCCGAAATCTCTGGACGTTAAGGCATCTACATGCTTTCGGTGCACACATTCGAGGGGCATGATAGGAAATAAGCATACAAAACCTTTCTATGCTTTTTTCAAGACAATTTATATTTATTAGTCTGGGATCATACTTAGTGGAAATTAAACTTATCGGAAAATAAATTAGTTAAGTGTTTTGCAGAGCATGTCAATCATACTTTGATCATTCTAGTTATCTCTAGTTATCTCCGAAGATATTTGGATTCTTGTGAAGATGTTCTTTGAAGCAATCTCGTATGATGTTGAAATTCTGGAGACAAATCAGATGATTCAGATAGTCCGGTGGCGCAGAATGATTGCTTTCACAGTACACCATACAGGCCGGAAGTACCTTCCTGAAAAAAGCTATGCGTGTCAAAAGTTAGTGCTAAAAATGTGAACAACAGATCTAAGTTGAATTAACAGTTTGAATACGCCATGCGTACAACTTCAATCATGAACCTCAAAATTTTGTGCATGGGCGTGCTCGCGATTTTTTAGAGCTTTCAAAGCAGTACAGTCTAAACAGGAGGACAAAAAATAAGCGGTTCGGCGACGACTGCGCGTTCCTGTGCCGCCGTTCTCTCTCTTGTAAACAGCTCTCTGCCTCTCTATTGCCTGGATCCTCGCGGCCAGCCGCTCCTGAAGCGCTCTCGTTTTTGCAAATCAGATATTGGACTGCAAATTGGTGTTGTGGCCAAAATTTAAGACGGACTAAGGTAAGCAATCTGACGCAAAGACATGGTCCGTCTCGGGCTGTGAACGTGACTTCGTAGAATCAGAGCTGACGACCGGCCGTAATGGAGCTGTCCACGACTGCTTCAGATTATGTTATGACTCGCACTTATGACCTATGGAAAAGATAGGGCGTGAGACGGGATGTGTATTAGAGTGCAGCCCACCAATGATGTCATCCTGAACCCGCTACCATTGGTGGAAAACATTGCCCTTGCCGCGCTCCAGCCGCTCTCCCTTCTTGCATTTCCACCTGGGATCAGAATTATTGTGCTTGCTATGTTCCAGTCAAAAGAAACACATGATAATATTAGACATGCAGCTCACTTCTTTTTGCAACATTCCCGATGATCATGTCTGGAGGAGGCACATTCCCACATCTGTTTCACCGTATCCTTTCGTGGAGAGCACATGTTCAGAAAGTGCAGAACCTATGAGGAAAGGATGAATGAATCACACAACGAATGTAAAAAAAATCAATTTTCCAGTTTCAAAGCGAGTGCTATCCAGACTTCTCTAGCCTTTCTGAACCACTGGAAAGAAAACCGAAAAGCTCTGAAAACAAGGAAGATCGCCTTGATGCTGAAGGAAAAAGTGGCGTCCAGACCGCATACAGGTATCTGGCGACGGCTACTACTCTTCCTTTTTTGTACATGCACGCGCCCAGTATCTCAGAGACGAACTGGGGCGTGGCCGCGTACTTCAATGGGCGAGGTCGCAACTGGGGTGTTTGAAGAAATAACCCGCCGTCGTGGCAACTGTAGTTATATGATTGTTCAGAAGAGAACTGATGACAGTTGTCTCAGCATGCTACGCCCTCCCTTTTTCCAAGATGTGGAGTGCACGTCTCAGCCTCTCCTTCTTCTTAACCACCGCAGCGATAGCTCTCACAGCCTCTATATTCCGTCCGAGCT